AGTGCAAAGCCATCAACAAGTATGCACTGAATATGTATTATAAACAGGGATAGTATATGTAATGCACTGAATATGTATTATAAACAGGGATAGTATATGTAATGCACTGAATACGTATTATAAACAGGGATAGTATATGTAATGTACTGAATACGTATTATAAACAGGGATAGTATATGTAAAGGGGTAAAAAGTAAAAGCTCTTATCCTCAAAGAGATTGCTACTGATTTAAAATGAAAAGTTATCAAGCAATCTCTAATTACGTGGGTTGCACTGGATGACCCCCACTCATGGAGGCTAGGATTCTACAATTCCACACAAGACCCTTAACTGTGGCATAGACCACTGAAACTACACGAACTCCAGTATGGGGAAAGTTCAGTGAGGACTGCTGAGGCCCTGGCTGGCCCCTTGCTGGGGTGGCCCTTGGCTGGATTTCCCAGTGGGATGCTCGGCTTGTGGACAGGTGGAGAGCAAAGTGTGCAGTGTCTTGCCAGATCAGACTCATGGATAGATTTACACTGAAAATTAAGAGAGAGAAAAAGAAAAGAGGAACAAGTAGAATGTAAAAGCCCTCTCATCTTATTGGAAATAATAGTATAAAACACTAGCAAAAACGAAAAGTTCGCATTCTAAGAAGTAACAGCAAATTTTTGCACCTTGGTTCTAAGCTGTCAGATCTTCCACTGTTGATGTGAATAATCTACCCTATAAAATTCTTTTCTTCCTAACTTGGCCTAAGGATATCAGTAGTAGGACTTTTTGAAATATCAGATGAAAAAGAAAAGAAAACATTGTCTTAGCTAAAACTACGAGAATAATGTCCTGTCAGGATAATGATTACACAGGCATCCAAAACAAGTAAAAGAACACATAGGGAGGGGAAAATCTTAGATGCCACATTTCAGAAATGTGTAAAGATGTTAGGCTCCTTATTGGGATTGTACTCCCGAAGCCCTCCGATCTGACTCAATCCCAGGTGGACCAGTTAATTCAAATGTCACCTACAATAGGGAATCAGAAAATTTGTCCTCTTACTCATTCATGTTCCACGCAGAGGGAGCACCAATTGGAGGTGAAAGGGGGGACTTAATTTCACCAGATTTTCAGGTTTAAATCCTTGGTCTGTCAAATACCTGCTACAGGACTTAGCCTGTCTATGCCAAAGTATTCCCATTTGTAAAACAGGTGCAATGATAGGTCCTACCCACGGGACCATGATACAGATGAAATTGGTGAGTGCTGTAAAGGTTGTAGAATAGAGTCTGACACATGGTAAGCACTACTATACATTTGGTATATGACATTTTCGGTATGGCCAAGGCTGCTTCTTTGCTTAGAGATCTTTTTGTTGAAATCTTCCATTATCTTTTTTAAAAAATTTGGCAACACACACTTTATACATTGCCTATGATTCCTAACTTTTGTTTTCCTAAACAATGGTACATGAACTTAAAACCATTTGAGCAGTTTGCAGAACTGTTCCACATTTAATACAATTTCTGGTCTCCCACAATTTATTTTTATAGACATCTATATTTAATTTGATCACAAATACTACTTTAGTAGACCTACTGAGTAACAAAAATAACTCATTCTTGGCAAGTATTCAGCTCCACTGGTAAGAGAAATAAGTGCACATGATAGAGAGCTCTTCACCAGTTGCCAGCATTCATTAAGTTGAGGGTATTGTTCAGTGTGATTTAAAAGAGAGAATGGTGAGCATCAGTGAATCTGGACAAGCAGCTTCAAATGAGCTTAGTTAAGAGATTCCAGTCTCTGTAAGAACATTACTTTTGGATTTTGTTTGCTATCCTGCCATCTCAATTCCTTGAAATTTACTTCCAATGTTGATTTTACTATGGAGGGGGGTCGTCTTAATCTGATTTATTGCCACTCATAGTCCCAGAGATATCATTCTAGAAACCAAAATCAAAGAGAAGTTTGTTGTCATTCTTAAGATTTTAATTTCAGCTTAGGCCTTTCTTATTTCCCTCAGGGACCTGGCTCTCTTTGTAAGTTTACCAGAATCTGTCAACTAATACTCAGAGTGCTTCCTTTCCGTTTCTCCCACATAAGAATTTGCTAAATGATATCCATGTAACCTCTTATTCTGTATTTTTAAGGGACAAAGAATTGTCTGTTTCTTATATGTTATTTTCCTTTATACTATTTATAAATTGTCTACCTAAATCACAATGTGTTCCTAACTCTTCTTTCTGTATTTCTCTTCAGGTAGCAACTTGGGAATGTAGAGAATCATTAGGCTGTACTCAACAAATAATAACTAATGCGGCCTTCTAAGAAGTGCTAAAAACTGCTTAGAAATCTGCTATAACGAATCCACAGACCATGGGCAGTAGCTATAGGGTCTATAATATTTGGGACCAGGGGCACACTGGTGGATTTGCTGCCCCTACCCACCAAATCCTCAGACACACTGGGCTGAAACACATGACTGCACAGTGCCTTGACATTCATGTAAGACAGGAAAGCTTCAAAAGAAGAGGTGGGAGCATAGACCTCTCTTAGGTTTATGTGAAATAACTCTCCAGAACAATGAATTATTATTGTTCATTATTCCACTCAACACATAATGACTGAGTATCCATAGGTGTAAAGCAAGTTTGGAATGATTGTATTTTAGCTCCATTGTATATATTTTGTTTATCAATTGAACCATAAAGTACTAACAGAAAATGAAAAGCCATGAGTGAAATAATTAACACACCATCTGAAAAGCCAGTCATGTCCTCTGTCTTGGATTATGAGCTCCAAGATGTTAAGAGGGCAGGTATCACACTTGGTATCATTATTCTTCACAGAATTATTAACAGTCCATCTTTTATAAATAATATTTAAATTAGAATGGCTCCTGGAAGGCAGTACTATTTGGGAGAAATATAAAGTGTGTTGGCTGAAAACACCAAATGAATAAACACTCATTTTTATTGTTAGCATATATATCATCCCCTGATCTTTGGGTATGAATTTAAGAAATTTGTGACAGCCAATGAAAATGCTTATATATCCATAGCATGTGTGTTTACCGTGCAAATAAATGATCACAATTCATAAACAGGGACGGCAGAGTCTTAAACACTACTTCAGAAAAGCCTCAAGTTACAACATGCAGAACGGAAAAAAATCAGGAACATGCAACAGTTTTTAAAAGTAATTCTAGAGGGCCGGGCGCAGTGACTCATGCACGTAATCCCAGCACTTTGGGAGGCTGAGATGGGTGAATCACAAGGTCAGGTGATGGAGACCATTCTGGCTAACATGGCGAAACCCCTTCTCTACTAAAAATACAAAAAAAAAAAAAAAAAAAATTAGCCGGGCATGGTGGCAGGTGCCTGTAGTCCCAGCTACTCGGAAGGCTAAGGCAGGAGAATGGCGTGAACCCAGGAGCGGAGGTTGCAGTGAGCCAAGATCGCACCACTGCACTCCAGTCTGGGAGACAGAGCGAGACTCCATCTCAAAAAAATAAAAATAAAAAGTAGTTCTAATATTGAATCTTGATGATGAGATTATGAAAGAAACACAACTTTTTATAAATGCAAGATCCCCTATGACAAATATTTATCGTGGTCAGGAACAGAAAATAGAATAGAGATAGATGACTTCCCTCCCACCCCACACAATTTTTGAGTCATAAATTATGAATTATGTTCAAACATATAAGGCAGAGAGGAAATTAATTTAGGAGATGAGATTTATTTTATAATTCAGAGAGCTGTTTTACTTAATTTGGGGGGCAAATTACATTTTGATGTTCAGCTTACCAAACATCTTTCTTTCTCTGAAATGAATTACAATTTCCCATTATTTCTCTGAGGAGTCCTAAGATTTTTATGCCAAAATTCAGAGAGTAAATTAGCAACACAATCTGGATCATTTGGAAAAATACCGTCCAGCAGAGCTTTCCACAATGAGGGAAATGTTCTCCACGCGTGCAGTTTACTAAGGTAGTCCCCTGGCCACATGTGGCTTTTGATGACTAGAAATGTGGCTCGTTGGACATAGGAACTTAATTTTAATTTAATTTAAATTTCTAAAACTAAAATTTAAATAGCCCTACATGGCTAGTGGTTATAGTGCTGGACAGTATCGTCCAGATGACCAGAGGCTGGAGGATGACCTTCCTCTCAGCCAATTAGACCATGCAGTGGTGGGCTGCCCTTTATACGTTGCACACTGCCCCTGTGAAACCTCGACGCAGCCTTTGACAGCTTAGCCTCAGACGGGCTTGGGGCAAAGCTCATGGGAGCTTGTTTGAGCAAATACACACATTAATAGGATCACAAACATCGGAAACAGCAAAGGCCAGCCCTGCAGACCCCTCTCCCCATTCATGTGTTTTCCCTGCAGGGGCACATATTCTCTAGTGCTTTGTCAGGACCAGCTTCAAATCGATTCAAATGACTTGACTTTCCACAGCTTTCCATGTTATGAAGGCAAGTAAAAAAAATAGTTCAGTGAGAGCACTTAGAAAAAGACAACCTGTAAAAATACTGAGACAGAAACAGGAGGCGTTCTGTTATAAGAAGGAACTCTGCATAGAGAGATATGAAAGAAAAACAAACCCCACATGTATTTTTGATTATAAAGAGCTTGAAATTTTAAAAAGCGTGCTTTGGCATTACATAAAATTCTTCCTTGCTTATCACATATGCAAGATTACTAATGTTGGTTCCTAAAACAATCGATTATTTCTTAACTTCTTTCCATGGTTCCATTTAGTTTACTACAGGACATCTTCTGATTGTCTCTTTCGCCTGTTTATTATTTGTTAGTGCATTTCCTTATCTGCATGTAGCTTTAGAAAGTCAAGAACTTAAGACACATTCAAATTTAATGACATATCTTGAGAGAGGAAAGAACGGGGATTCTGATGCAATATGCCTTGCTCATGAAGATGTTGCGAACTTCCCAACTTAAGTAACTTCCTGTCAATAGCATTTCAGTAGCAAAGATTGTTTTCCAGATAAACACATACCTGGAGGAGCAGATCAGAAGTGGGTCTGACTCGCTGTTGGAATAGGATGCTTAGTGTTCGATTCTGCTGTTCCAAATCAAACACTCTTGTTTTCAACTTCACACATTCCTCTCTTAGATCCTACAACAAACACATCGAAAGGAGAAAAAGTCCATAACTGAAAGATGTCTTCGCATATTATAACCATGTTTTAAATATCTCAGATCATTAGCAAAACACAGTATTTTTATTCTTCAAAGCCCCCAGAAGTAAATCACATACAACATTCTCTTCCATAGACCATTGTCTGATAGAATTATTATGTGCAAAGACCAGTTTTTTAAAAACAAAGCACCTTGAAATCAGAAATGCATTAATCTAGCATGCTATTTTTGAAGACAGTAAATCTTAGCGATATAAAGTCAATTTAAGTTTCCACCTATATATTTTGCCTTTTCATTGTCTTTAGAAAAGCAATCATAGATCACAAACCACAAGGACAACAACAATGTTTCTGCAGTGAATAGAGATTTGATCAGCTAAAGAAACTATCATTTCTGATGGAGATTTTTGTTATCATTTGTGAAAACAAGTTGAAATTCTCGGCACTGGGGCTAATAGAGTCAGTGATGCATTTAGCGGAAGAGAAATAAACACGGAAGAGAAGGCTTTTAAAAGGCCACTTGCAACTTGCCCATCCTCTGAACTCGTGGATTTCCATATCTTCTGGGGCTTTCTGGTCTCAGTGCTGGGGAAGACGCACACTACTTAGCCCATTCTGGCATCTGTTTGGAGCAGCTCTTTTGAATAGTTCAAACACCGTGGAGACCTTTTCCCCAGCTCATGGAGGAAGCTGATGTACAAGAAGTGCCTTCCAAACTGACTGCAATAAAGGAACTTCTGGTACTTAAATATCTATGCCCTTTTTGATGGAATTCAAGGCAGACCCAGTAGAATAAAACCCAAATTCAATGCTCTTCAAAAGCTGACCCTTTTCTGCATTTCAAGCTATCTTTCACTACTTCCTGATGTTAAAAAAAAAAAAAAAAAAGTCTTCTGTTCTCATCAAACAGAGAACAAAGGTCTGGCATGTTGTTCTCTAAAGCTCTATACATTCCTTCTACCTTCTTCTCTTTTCTTTCCACTACCACTTTTCCTTCTTATCTACCTTCTTCTTTCGGTCCACATTTGGCTCTTTGACTGAAGTCCAGTTCAAACTTTGTCACCTTTCTGACCTTTTACCTGGCATCCCTCAATACCTGCTCCATTTCCTGAACTCCCATCAGTCCTCAATGCCTCCTTTGTGATGGTTATCATATATTACTCCGTATTCATTTTATCGTTTGTGCTCTAGACTTGTCAATTACACGATGCGTTTTTCACCAGATGGACACAAGAAGATACTGAAATAATCACACCAGAATATTGCTCTTACACTGTTTTCATTCCATCACCTAGCACAATGCCACATATAGTAGGAGCTTAATAAGTGCTTGCAATTATTTTGCCAAACGGGATGATGATTGCAAATTCTATTCTCTAGTGATCGGTGTGATACAGAGCATTTCTCAACACTTCTATTTCAAAGATTTATGTATTCTGATATGGGCAGGTAGCTATTGGACTTAAGGCTCTGTAAGCAAGGGAGAGCCCAGGTCACAGTTCTGATGTCTAGGGCCTAAATAGGAATCACAGAGGTACCTGGGCCTGCCATAACCTTGTATTAATCTAATGGTGAAGTTAGAGCTCGCTATGAGGCTTCATGAGCATGTATCATCTTATACAGTAGTATTAATCCTATTTAAAGGGGTCAAAGAAACAGGCCAAGGTATAGCCCACTGCAGTTTCAACTCTTCTGGCCTTTTTTAGTTACATGGATAAAGCTTATGTATAGGGTGTTTTCAACTGATCAGTGCCCACAAATGGAGAGCAGAGAAAAGAAATGACATGTTCAGAATGACATGCAAGAGTGCAAGATCCAGCAGGGCAGGATCAGGAGTGCACATTTCATACTCCTGAGCACACACGCCATTTGGCAGAGGCCATTGTGGGGACCCACTCACTGCTCAAATTAAAAGGTGAAACTTCAGCCTGGCCAGCATGGCAAAACTCCATCTTCACTAAAAATATAAAAATTAGCGAAGTGTGCACGCCTGTAGTCCCAGCTACTCGGGAGGCTGATGCATAAGAATCACTTGAACCCGGGAGGCAAAGATTGCAGTGAGCTGAGATCGCCCAGCTGAATGCTTGGGCAACAAAGTCTCAAAAAAACCCAGTCTCGAAAAAAAAAAAAAAAAAAGATGAAACTTGCTTCATTTTTATTTATTTTATTTTGAGACAGAGTTTCACTCTTGTTGTACAGGCTGGAGGGTAGTGCCGCAATCTTAGCCCACTGCAACTTCTGCCTCCCTGGTTTGGGCGATTCTTCTGCCTCAGCCTCCTGAGTAGGAGGGACTACAGGCGTGTGCCACTACACCCAGCTAATTTTTGTATTTTTAGTAGAGACAGGGTTTCACCACATTGGCCAGGCTGGTCTCGAACTCCTGACCTCGTGATCTGCCCACCTTGGCCTCCCAAAGTGCTGGGATTAAAGGCATGAGCCACCATGACTGGTGAAACTTGCTTTATTTATTTAGAATTCAACCGCTGTCTGTGTCTCACGATTTTTGTTCTTAGCATGTATGTAACACTCTCTGCTCCCAAACACTAATTGTTTTTAGTACCATTAATTAAGTAATTAATAAAACTTGACTGTGAGGCAGATAAATAGTAATAGTACCTATTGGATGGGAAAACACAATCATCCTCATTTGCAATGTAGAGATACGGAAACGGAAGCGTACAGTGTGGATATGCAAGTAAAAGGGGACCTGAAGGCAACAGTAACCACAATTTTTAGCAGCAAAACTGAGACGACCTTGAAAGAGTTCTTCAGATGGGTAAAAATCAAATAAAAAGAAAGAATGAAAGAAAAAAAATCAATGTACTTTATAGAGAGTCATTATACAACTGCCCAAATTTCAAAGGCCATTACTATCACTTAAGGTATAGCAAAGTTCATTAGTGGGAACACAATTTATCGACCCTGGGAACTCTCTGTTCATCACTGTTGGCACATCCAGCTCAGCACACAGCAGCAGGGAAGACAGAGGCTTTACGGATGTGACACTGACCTGATGGCCATCGACAAACAGAAATGAGCTGGTCTGAAAATCTGGAGATAGAAAAGAATCGCTTGCATTGTTTTTAATATTCTTATTTTCTTCAGACAAGCTGTGGATCACCAGTAACTGATGCCAGACAGTTGCCTTCCCAATAAACTGTAAACAAATACACTCGTGTGCCCATGTACACACGCATAAACACAACCAGAATGGTTATACATAGAGAAACAACTGTTTCGCTGACCACTATTGTAGTACCTGGGTGGAGGGGGCAGCTGGCTGTCTTAGCTTCCTCTGTGCTCCCAACAGGAACACCTTGACATAAAGGAAAGCATGATTGCATGATACATTTAGCCTGGATGCAAGAGCCACGACTCTGACCCTGTCAGTTCAGAGGCAAGACCTAGAACAGCCTTCCCAAGGAAGGCTTTAGAAACAAAAGAACTCTCCTCTGGGTAGGTGCCACGGTCTGGGATCACGGCTCAAGGGAGAGGCTGTACCATGTATCCTCTCTCACAACCCTTCTTTTTTTTCTATGACTTCCTGGCAGGTATCAGGTCTCAAGGAAAGAAAGAACCTCACTGAAAATACAAGGTTGTATCTTCAGATAAGAAAAAGGGGACACAACATAAATATTTATCATGGAGGAATAATGCCAAAGATTTGACTACATTTCACATCATGAAAAAAAAATAGTACAGTGGTGTTTGGGTTCAAGAAAATACTCAGACCCATTTTCCTTGCACTATTCATGTCACTATCAATTGGAAACAGAGACTTAAAAGGTTACAGCTGAGCAATGTGATACACCGGTCTAACGGGCATCTCTGCATCTTAATGATCCCAAACCATAATTTCCCTGGAGGATCCATACCCTGTAATCCTGATAAATTCCCCCTGTGCTTGGGCTAAAGATGATTCTGGACTCACTGCTATACAGTACCTATAGGAGTACAGTTACTTCACGTACTGAAAAGTAAAATCCTTACCAGCTCTAGGCCAAAGTACATTTTTAAAAATGCCGATTGCTTAGAAGCAGGACATACACTAACATGATCACTGGAGTGTCATTGAAAACTATTTAAATCTGATTTTTATCATGTAAAAATGACATGACAGTGGTATACCTATTTCAGAGGCAGTGTCTATCTTGAGAATACACGGAATTGGGGCTTAGTGGACCTGGGCTCTAGTCCTCATTGTCCACAGGACCTTGAAGAAGTGATTGCTTCTGAGTAGGTCTCAGTTTCCTCATCTGTAAACCAAGGCACTGTACAAAACTGGGCTTTTGTTCAAAAGACTGTATCTCTCACTAGCTTCATGGGATGGCTTTTCGAGTGCCACTTTATTCCCTCCCTGAAGCCTAATGGCCACTAAAACCACCAGCCTCTTTTGTCACACCCCTTCTTGGTGGCTTTCAATGACATATCCCTCTCTGCCCCAAATGCTAAGGCTTTTGTAAAATGAAAAGCCACTTCTGGAAAAGGCTGGTCACATCTCAGACAGACCCAGGGCTTCAACATTGAATGCCTAAAAGGCAAGACAGGTGACATAAAAGTCTGACTGAACTGGGATACAGCACAGGAATTAGTGAGTCCTATGGCAAAATACATACTGCAAGTCTCCACCCTAAAAGCCTTCAGATTAAACCACTTTTAATAAGGGCAATGGCTAAACAGTTCATATAACTACAGCCAGTAGAGCCCATTACTAAAGCTCGTTGATGATCTCAGGATTAAATACTCACCTCCAAGGCTCCTAGAAATTGGGGAATTGGGGAGTTAAAAATAAGATTGATTTTGAGAAAGCCTGACCCCAAATATACAGAGTCGGTTTCACTCCACAGATATCAAACTCTAAATGCTCTTCCTGCTACAGAAGATCAGCAATACTTCCAGAAGTTTTAAGAAGTCCTGCGGCTACCCTGCCTTTTATTTTATCCCCTGTGATCATAACTAACGGTTGGATTTCAACCCATCTGTTGATTTTCATGGCATCTCTCTCTGTCCTACTGAACTACGGTGGAGAAAAACAAGTGACTGAATGGGATTGTGGACGAAGAATGAAGGAGTGGGTCAGAGCGTGGGGTTTACAGTGCAACAGCCATAATTAAAGCAGGGGCTTTGCCACTGCCCAGCTGTTGAAACTATGAGCAAACTATTTTTTTTTAGTCCTACCTCACTGGGCTGCCTTGAGATCAAAACGACTTGGTGCATTTAAAATGCTGCACGTTTCTGGTTTTCTGTCCTTAGGATAGTTTGCTGAGAATGATGGTTTCCAGCTGCATTCATGTCCCTACGAAGGGCGCGAACTCATCCTTTTTTATGGCTGCATAGTATTCCATGGTGTGTATGTGCCACATTTTCTTAATCCAGTCTGTCACTGATGGATATTTGGGTTGGTTCCAAGTCTTTGCTATCGTGAATAGTGCCGCAATAAATATACGTGTGCATGTGTCTTTATAGCAGCATGACTTATAATCCTTTGGGTATATCCTTAGTAGTGGGATTGCTGGGTCAAATGGTATTTCTAGTTCTAGATCCTTGAGGAATCGCCACACTGTTTTCCACAATGGTTGAACTAGGGGGAGGGATAGCATTAGGAGATATACCTAATGTAAATGACGAGTTAATAGGAGCAGCACACCATCATGGCACATGTATACATACGTAACAAACCTGCACGTTGTGCACATGTACCCTAGAACTTAAAGTATATAAAAAAAAAAAAGTGCTGCATGTGGGGTCTGAAGGCTTGTAAATGCCTGCTAAATATCAGCAGCCGCCTGATACCACACAGACCACTGCTGGAGAAGTGGACACAGATGGTTCAATTGCACCTTGACAAGGGAAATAGGCAGGAATTTGGAGTTTTCTCAGCTACAAGCTATGAAATTGTTTTCTGGGTCTGCCTGAATGGCTGGATTCTACCATACCCAGCTTTGTTCCATGTCAGTGAAGAAAACACACCATCGAAATATGTGGTTCCTCCAAAGAACATGCAGATAAGCCTGAGACTGTTGATATGAATGAAAATAATTGCAGAGAAAATGCCTTTCTTCTATGTTTTGCTTAGTGGCAAAAACAAAACAAACAAACAAAAAACAAACTCCAAACACTGAAGAACCTAGGCGAGTTACATTTTCTCCAAGTGTAATTGACTTAATGAAGAGAAAATACATTTCAGATAACAATATGAGTTTAACCTGAAGTATTGATTTCATTCACACTTGCAGACTTGGACCCACGATTTGGAGGCATCAAAGGAAGAAAGTTCGGTTTAATACGATCACTTTTGTATTATTGTTCTAAAGGGGTACAGTCCATTCGCTTAAGGGAATCTACAGGTTTTTGAGATAAACTGAATTACTTGACCAGGTACACTGAACAGAAACTGATAAGTTAATGGAAATAATTTTTTTTTTCTATCAGTATCAATAGACTGTGTTACCTCAGGATGCCTGTCTGGGCCAATTCATGATATGCCATGAAAAATGTATTTCTGGCTGCCCAGTGAGGAGCTGAAGCCATAGCCGATTTGCCTTTGTGTCATAACTAATGACATATTCTAAAACTGCACAGTAATGCCTATTATTTCACCTCAAGGATCTTCTGGTGACTTGGATAAATCACTCAAGATTTTTTTCTGTTTCATCTTTGCGACCTACATTCCTTTTTGGAATTAGTTTTCTCATCTGCATTTGGAGTGCATTGTATATTTGATAGTGTGCTCTTAATTAAAAAGAAATTTTAGTCTTTTTGCAGCAATTTTACAGTTCCCATAAAAACTGGAGGCACACATTTCTGCAGAACATGATTCTTTTGGAATCTCCAAAAGCCCCCAGCATCTCTTTCTGCCTCATAGTGTCCCTGAGGTACGCTATCTCACAGTAGCACGTCTTTCTGTGTCTCACTGCTTAACGGTACCAAGGTAGATTTATCTGTTTACTAGTTATTACTTGGATTTGTGTAGCTATTTTTTTTTTTTTTTTGTAGCTGACCTGAAGGGCCCCTTTTTCTTTTTATCGTACCAGACGACTTCCTTGTCTCTTTCCTGAGGCATGAGAAGTCTTTCAACAGTCGTACACAGAGCTGCAATAGTACTCCCCCATTCCTCAGGTTTGTAACTAAGTCATCACAGAGTTTCAAGCAGGAGACAAAAAACGGAGAAATTAAAGCCTTAGAAAAAGAAAAAGCATTCAAAAATGTTGCAGCAGCAATTACAATTTGCCCTCCAATATCTAGTTCTCACCTTCTTCCAAAGTAATTTCAGCCGGGCACACACCCAGAACAAAAACTTCTTTGCCGAGTTTGTTAGGTGTGGCTGTGTGAGTAAGGTTTGTTCAAGGAGATGTATGTAAGTAACGTATGAAGGCTTTTGGAAGTGTCCTTTAAAAGACAGCTGCTGTATGCCCTTTATCTTCTTCATATTCCTCAGCTTTTTTTTCCCTTCCTGATGGCTAGAATGTGTGGATGTGATGACTGGAGCTAGCATAGTCCTTTTGGACCATGAAGTGACCTTGAAAATGGGGCCACATTCCATGAAATACAGAGATGGAAGCTGGGGACCCCGTGGACTTTATGGAGCAGAGCTACCATCCCAGTTCTGCCTACCTGTCAGTTTATATGTGAGAAAGAACTAACATTTTCGCTTATTTAAGCCACCTCATTATGGATCTCTGTTGCTCACAATGGAGCCTAATTTTAACTCTACGTAAGTGGTACTCAAATCTCTTTATTTAGGCATGTTAGTGTAAAACTGGAAGCAGTTAAAATTATTTTTAGAAGGAACCATGACATTTTGACAGAAATAGTAGGCAAGAAAGTCTAGCAAAAGTTTCACAATGCCTGTAACATATAAATTTTAAAGAATTTTTAAATATCTCCATGAGAAGTAGTCAATCCCTAATACAATTATTTTCAATTAAAAAAATCAAAATGGCATAAATTATTTTGCTGCCATTTGTCACATCATCCTGAATATGCTGCAGGATCTAAAAGTTTCTTTGGGAGAAGTCTCTATTTCACAGACAGAAATCAAAGTAAACAAAATCTGAGGGAACTAAAATTTAGCTTCTCAGAAGCATCATGGCCAGAGATGGAAAACATTCTATAAAATTCACTGAAACAGCCAAATTTGGGCAAAATTGACCTGCATTTACTGTCTGTGCCTAGATAATGTGATCTGATATTGTCCGAAGGAAGAATGGCAAGGCAGCAAACACATAGGTATGGAAATTTCAGGTACAGTGGTTACCACTATTTTATATGTACCACAAACTACTGCAGTAGCTGTTCCACCTGCTTCTTTTGGTAGGTTCGCCACAGCAGTCCCAGGAGGTGGGAACTGTTATTCCCACATTACAGAAGAGGAACTAGGGCTCAGGGAAATTAAATGACTTCCCTAACTTCAAAGATCTCTTGCTGAATTTTAGACTTGCGTTAATGCTGTCCAAAAGAAGATACTCATTTTACAGGAATTGGGAGAATTCACCAACTTACTGAAAGTTCGTATTTACTAAATAAAAATGATTGGTTTGCTACTCATCTGGATACATGAAAATCATCTTCAAAAGGCTTTCTATTATTTTACTGAGAGTTTGGATTTTTTATACAAATTCTACTGGTCACTGATGATACTTCATACGCTATCTAAAACACACACGATTTTCACTAAGCGAATAAACACAAAAGTATTGCATCTATCAATCACAATTTCCTAGCTTAACAACGTGAGTTCCAATATAGTCACATAAGTGCCTTGAAAAGAACAAAGCCAGAAAGTGACCTACCTTTTGCGTAAGCAGAGCTTGAACAACTTGGTTGGCTACCTTTAAAAAATAAAGAAAAAGTTGTCATTTATAATAATGAGACTTTATAGGCACTGACTCTAATTTACCAATACGTTTCTCGCAGCTTATTGGAGCTAATTAGCTCCTCATTTGCCTCTTTCCTCTACATCCAGAGATCTGATTCTTTTCATAATAAGCCTATCCTTCTAGGTAATATTTTGCTTTCTCCAAAGGTGACCTTGTTGCTAATTAAGATGGTTACACTTAAAAGATCATTCATACCTTGACTTTCACATTTCCATATTTGGAAAAATGATATCCTTTCATATACTCCAAGAAGGCTAAAAAATGATATAGTGCCAAACACAGTCCTAATTATCTGCACACAGTTTCTACACTTCACTGATTTACAACGTCCCTTGCCTCTCCTTCCTATTCCTTTGCTGTCTATTTCACTGCTTCATATTACTTGCAATAGAGATAGGTTGAATGGTCAACAATAGGGACAACTCGTTGTTTCCTCTATGTCCTGCTTTCATCTTCAATGTTTTCGCTTATGTCACCCTCTTGTTGTTGCTACCAGTAATAAAATCTGGTAGTTGTTTACTGCAACATCCATTTTTTTTCCTTTTTCCTGAGTAACAAACCCAATCCTTTGGGGCTTGGTACATTCAACTGCATTTCCCAGCTACTCCTGTAGTGAAATGTTGCCATGTGACAAAATTCTGGCCAATAAGACGTAAGCAGACTATTCTCTTGGGCTTACAGGAAGTCTCAAAGAAGAAGGGGGCTCACCCTTCATCATCTTCCTGACTAGGAATGGAAGTACAGCAATGGCTGGAACTTCAGCAGTTACCCTGACAAAAACAGTCACATATTAAGGATATTTGGACAGAGAAAAGGACAAGCTTGGTCCTGAGGATGTTATGGAGCTGTACTGTCTATTGAACATTGATGTGAGGGAAATAAGGTAGTCACTGTTATTTTGAGTTTCTTCCAGTAAACAACCAAACATAATTCTTAGTAATATTTTCAGGGACCTCATTTTCTTCAAGTATCAGGCAGCTTGGGACAGCAGAAGAACCTAAATCCCTCCTCAGCCCAAGGCAGTGAATCTTGATTAATCGAAGCCAATCTTAGCAATTCCAGTGACTGGTTTAGGAGTGGGCACATAACACAATTCCAGCTAAGGACCACAGGTAAAACCAGTAACATGTTCCTGGTGTTTCAAGAATCTGGCATTTTCTCCAGGTAACCATTCATTATTACTGTATGTATTTGTGCTAAGATTTCTTTTTCATCTGCATATTTCAAAACACTTTGCACAGAATCACCTACTAAACTTCGCTATTACCTTGAAGCTATGTAGCTACATGGTTACTGTTGATAAAATTAAGGTGGACAGGTGAAGTGGGTGGTACGTTTCAGCTAATACATAAACTGTAAACATTTAATGTGATAACTGAAATTGACAGCATGAAAGACTAAATCCGAATACTTAAATATCCTAGATAAAAGGCACTCTGGTTCATTCGTTTCTTCCTTCACTTATCCAATAAAAATTTTCTGAGTATCTACTTGCAAAGCTAGCTGATTGGGCCATGGTCCTTGACTTCAAAGACTCATACCTGGCAGCAAGTTGGCAAAAACACAATTATAACACAGTGTGACAAAAATCTAATCATCATGGTAATTCTTACATTCAACTGGAGACTGAGGGACACTTTTGTGTTATTTCTCTGTTGGTAACACATTTATTTTTGGTGATGCTCAACTATTTGTGCTTCTTTCTCTATCTAGTATAGGGGAACAGATTATGGTAAGAATGTTTCCATGGAGCTTAATTGTTTTTTGACTCAATATTGACAAATAGTACATCCTTCAGGACAGCTGGCTAGCAGTAAGTCTCATTGAAAATTAAAACACAGGCTGTCGTCAACTTTTGGTTAGAAAGCAATCACACCACTAGCAGGAAATGACTAAAATCAGATTATCTGTAATTGATTCATTAAATTATATACACAAGAAGGATTTTTTTCCCATCAGAAAAAGTCTTTTCAAAGTTACATTGCAGACATTAAGTAAAAAGAAAGGCTCTTCCTTGAAACCATGATTTTAAAGAAAACGTATTCTTAGGTATTTTTGATTTTTTTTGAGTGAAGCACAACTTACAGAACTACCATAGACCAAAGTAAACTATACTTTCATTAACTGAGGCCCCATGTTCCTTGATCACTTTATTTGTATGTGACCACAACAGTGATAAATGTTATCCAACCCAAGCACATTGACCAGTAGCATAATAGTGAACGTCAGTTTTCCAGCATTCGTTCCAATTCATAAGTAACTGAGAATTCAAAGTCAAACTACATATCATCTATTTTATTGTTGGCAAATAAAACAAAACAAAACAAAACAGAAGAATTGAACTATTCATGCAGGTTGAATCAGGAACAAGGTACCAAAGTTAAATCATGCCATAAATAATTTACTTCTTTTGGATCTCAAACTTTGGATTTGATTTACATTCTCATAAAACTGCCCAATATCAATATTTTCTTTTCTTTCTCCCAACCGGTCTCTCGCTGAAACCATTCTGGTAACAGTGGTCACATAAAATAGCTCTATCCATGATTTATCAGGAGACACAGACTAATATCCTAACTCTAACAGCCCACAGGAGGAAATACGTTATATCTCGCAATCCAAGCAGTTGCCCTATAGGCTTAGAGACTCTATATCTAACACAGTTCCTTCTGGCATGTACTTGGGAAAATTGTTTGCTCCACTTGAAAACTGAACAAAGATACACGAATGCCTTTTTTCTTTACCTACTGACATGAGGTTATGTTACCCAGAAGGACTCGCCAGTTCTTCGAAAAAGAGCAGGCAGATGATACAGATGCTTTCCTCCATACTGTCTATAATGACAGTGTCCGAGGTTTTGTTATCGCTTTTAACAGCTAACTTCCCTGATGCATAAATAGGACAGTTGCTTGGAGCTTGTGCCTGCAACCTCTACTAGGTTGAAAAGATAATGCCTGGAATGCGCCCCTGCTCTCAACCTAGCATTATGCCCTAAGCATTTGGGTTGCAAATAATCACACACCTATAGGCCCAGCTAGTGAGAACAAATCACTTCCAATGTCATCTGCCAGCTTTCTTCTCCAGAGAAAGGGCAGCAGCTGGGCTAGGCTGCAAGGGACTGGAAGCACACTGGAAAATCAAAGCTGGCAGTCCTTAAGCCACTAGCTTGTAGTACAGCCTCTCTTAGGCCCTCCGTGGAGGCCGCTCCCCTTTGCTCCTAGGAGATGGAGCAGGGCTGCAGGTGAGACAGGAATGACAAGGAGAGCGCCTCAGTACATCTCATATTTCCTTCTCAGTAAGAATTCTCTCAGACAATCTGGCTCCTCTAACACATTACTGATCTTCTACTCACACAAAACTTTGCTCTTCTTCCCTGAAAAACTTACAGGGCTCGTGATTCCTCCATGCAACTCTCCTGGAAGTGGGCGCGCAGAGGGAGGAAAAGCTGGGGCTGTGAAGTTGTCTATTATTTTATTGCAAAACAGTCCTTGAAGCTGAATAAGAAGCCACACCAAGAAGTTTATCCACAGAGAGAATTATCAGCCAAGGGCTGGGGTGGAGGGTGGAGAAATTCAGGTTTGTGGGTGTGGGGAGTGAGGATCTCCAATGGCTCTATGCTTTGACAGTCCTCTCCTGGCTAGTGGGCTTGCTTTCATACCTTCATGAGCTATTTCACCATGCAAAGCCACTGTCGCGTCAACAAAGTAACTGAAAAATCTAATCAGGAAAAGCAAGTGTTTTTGAAAATGTGCTTTGGAGAGGTGTTCTACGCTTCTGAATTTGGTTGATTGTACTGAGGCAGCTAGGAGCAAGCATGGAGAACATGGACTTGGGTTAAAACAGTGCCTATGTTAACTTCACACACTGACATGCACAGGGGATGGGAGAGAAACCTGACTTTTCTCATCCATAAAATAGGGGAGCTGCCTACCTCTAAAGTTGTGAAAAAGGCATGAGATGATAGACATAATCAGTGAAACCATCTAGGGCAGGACTTGATATAAAGCAGTCACCCCTAAATGTGAATCAGGCCAGTCAAACCTTGGAAAATATAATCCATGTTCAGGTAAGCAGTTAAGAAAAAATGCTTTAAGAATAAGGGATTTTATGTGTAAGGGCATGAGGGGTATGTATATGTGTGTGTGTTTGTGTGCGTGTCCACATAATATACATGTATAAATGTAAGTCAATAAGCATCTGTATTATTCATTTACTTTGTAAAACAATCCTGTAAGATACAAACAAGAAAGAAGCTCGAAGAGGTAAATACACAGCCCCATACAACATTGGAAAAGGGGGAACAGTGAACCCTAGTCTTCCTAATCCAAAGCCCATGAAGTTCTCTTCTTCTAATTCAAATCAGAGTATTTGAAGTGGGTCTACTATTTTTTTCAGCTGATTAATCCTTGGATTATCATTTGGGTTAGTGCATAATAAATGAGTGCTCATCTCTGAAGAGATAACTGAAGAAATTAGTCTAAATACGTATGTGGGATTTAGGGAAACACTAATTTGGAAATTAATTTCCTGCTGATACTCTCCATTCATTCATTGAGTCATTCAACAAATATGCATTAGGCACCTAGTGTGGGGCAGGAATCTGCTGGGTCCTGCAGAAATAATGTGAGAAGAAATGCAGGGACTGCCTCCAAGGTGACAGAATCTGGGGCAAACAAGGAGTAGATAATCTGTAATTTCCAAGAAATGAGTATTTTGAACATATGAAGGTGACAAGTAGGATTGTCTTCCATTTCTGTCTATCAAGACCTTGTTTTTGTTTTTTTTTTTTTTGAGACAGAGTCTTGCTCTGTCACCCAGGCTGGAGTGCAGTGGCACAATCTCAGCTTATTGTAACCTCTACCTCCTGAGTTCAAGCGATTCTCCTGCTTCAGTCTCCTAAGTAGCTGGGTCTACAGGCTCCCGCCACCATGCCTGGCTAATGTTTTGTGTTTTCAGTAGAGACAAGGTTTCACTATGTTGGCTAGGCTGGTCTCGCACTCCTGACCTTGCTATCCAACCGCCTTGGCCTCCCAAAGTGCTGGGATTACAAGTGTGAGTCACCATGCCCAGCCAAAACCTTGATTTTAAAGATGACGTAGGGCCCAGCTGTGGGATATGCCTGAGAATGTCCTGGGAATGATCCTAAAATCCAGGCTAGGAATGTAGCACGTGGTTCAGGGAGACAGGTGAGAAATAGTCTCAGCAACCTACTTCTACCCTTACTTAAAATTCTTTTTTTTGTCTATTTCTGAACAACATCCAAAGGTCTAGTTTTCAACGTCCTTGCGCTCTGAAGTGTAGAGGTTGGAAAATAACTCAACTCTATCATCGTCACTGACTGTAAGGGGCCAGTTCTGATTGGAGAGGAAATAGCAGTTTCTCCAACTTTTCCTGCAGAAGCCTCCGGGAATGTTTGTGAAAATTGCCAATTTCCTGTCCCTGCATACTGATTGGGAAGGTCTGAATGAGGTCTAAGGATATGCAATTTTAGCAACCACCACACATCTTTCTGATGCAAAGGGCTCCCAGAAACATACCTTGAGAAACACTGGGATATGGTTTATTTTATTTTATTTTATTTTATTTTATTTTATTTTATTTTATTT